CCAGCCCCATGTCAGATCTCAGCTTTGCTCTGCTTTTTTTCCAGTCCTGGGGATTAAGCCCAGGGCTTTTACACTGAGCTAAAGCTTTAGCCCTTTTTTTATGTTTTATTTTGAGATGGGGTCTCTATAAGTCACTGAGTTGCCTGGGCTGGGCTCTAACTTTTCATCCTCCTGCCCCAGCTGGCCAGAGCACTGGGATGACAGGTATGTACCACCACACCCAGCTTGGATCTTGATCTTTTCATTTTTTTTTTTAAAGAACCAGAGCTGGGTGTGGTGGCGCACACCTGTAATCCCAGCACTCAGGAGGCTGAGGCAGGAGGATCGTTGTGAGATCGAGACCAGCCTGGGCTACAAAGTGAGCACAAGGCCAACCTGAACTGCATAGGGAGACCCTGTCTCAAAAAGACAAAAAAAAAAAAGAACCAGAAATGCAGATTTGTGTGTAAAATCTCTGTGTGTAGTGGTATACACCTGTAATCTCAGCATTTAGGAGGCTGAGCAAGAGGATTGCCATGAGTTTGAGGCCAGCCTGAACTACAGAGTAAGACCTTAAGTAAAAAACAAAACATCTCCATGTACAAATGCTGCTACCTACTATAAAGATACCAACAGACATGACACAACCAAGGGAAACATGTATGCAGTTCTCCAAACCCTCATGCCGGCTCTGGATCCTGAATCATGTGATCACCTGGTTCTTAACAGTGAAACCATAAGACGAGGAGGCTGATGGAGGAGAAGGAGTCTTATCCAAGGTCTCAAAGGCAGTCCAGGTAGAACTTGGGCTCAAATCTGGGTTGTGATTCCACACCCAGTGCTCCCTCTGTCAGAGGGCCTAAAATAGAAGACTAACCTTTTTGTAGTATTTTTTGTGCTTGATAAATACCAGGGAGTTGTTCATTAGTTCATCTTCCCTGAATACCTGGCAGAACTGGGCCAGAGGGTGACAGGAAGACCCCAGCCTGTCAGCACATACCCCAGGCTCCTGGAAAGTGGACCATGAGTTCCACCACCTGCCGCTGAGGCACCATGCCTGGCCCTCTCTGGGGAATCGGGGTGGCGGGAAGTCCGGGGAACCCAGGGGAGGGAACCTTAGAGGCCAGGGCAGAGGCTGGGGCCGATAGATGCAGGCTTGAGTCTGTCCAGCCCCGGACCAGTTTGTGTTTCCTCCCGCATCCTCCCTTGTTTCTGGTTTAAAATAATACTCAGGGCTGGGGGCGTGGCTCAGTGGTGATGCTCTTGTCCAGCATGCACAGGTCCTGGGTTCAATCTCCAGCACCACCAAGAAAAATAAAATAACATTTGACAGTAGAAATCTTTGAAAATTCAGGCAAGCACAGAAAAAGAAAGCCCACTTCCATAAAGCTACCTTGTTCTGTCATTGCTTCAGCCTCCACCTGTCCAGGAGGAGAGCGCTGCCATGCACAAGGGCCAAGGAATAGCCTGAAATTTTCTCAACAGGAACGCATGGGACATGCTTTTCTAACCTCTCCTCACTTGTTACATCGTGAGCATCCCCTCGACACTTACCATCCTCTGCGCTGGTGTTCTTGTCAGCAGCAGAGGGTTTCATCCTCTGGCTGTATCTGAGCACATCTGCCTTTCCCGCTGCGGGCCGTAGCTGCTCTCTGAGCACTCCGCCCTCCACACCGGAGCACCAGACATCACTGCCCGCACATGTGTTCTGCCTACCATGGTTCCGCCGCAGAGACTCCTATATGTGGAGCGGGTGGAAGGTGTGCAGGTCCGTGCGGCCTTTGGTACACATTTCACAGGCTGCTCTTGAGACACATCCTGGGAAAGCCAAGAATGTTATCGGGTGAGAAGATCTCTGGGAGGCCTGTGCCATGATCTCTGGCTTGTCTGTGTGTTTGCAAGGACTTGGCGGTCTGTGTGGGTTTGACACAGGCCCAGAAAGCCTCTGGCACCTCTGCTGTAGCCAGTTCATCCAGAACTGCCTCGCTGCAATGGAGCAAGAACCAGAGGCCAGGGCATTCCGCCGGGGTTGATCTCTGCTGCCTCTTTTCTTTTCCCTCTGATACGGCAAACAGACTCTTGGAGCAATTGCTGCCTCTGTTTGGGAAAGAACCCCTTAAAACTGCAGAATGGGGCCCGGGCACTCAGCGGAGAGAAAAAAATGCTGCACCTTTCAGGGTCCCCTCACCACCTCACAGGGAGAATGGAAAGGAGGAAATTGGTGACTTCAGCAGCAGCAGGGAGGAGCGGATGCATTCACTGCCTCTGCTTAGTTAGACATGCAAATGCAGTAGACCAGAAGTTGGCTTGTTTTTTCTATTCAACTCTCATTACATACAAATTTGATTGCAGTCAATGGCTTGACCCCAGGCCATTCCCTGCATGAAAGACTTTCTCTTTCTCCTCTCCTCCTGTCCTGTCCTTTCACCCTTGGGATTTAATATCTGCAATTTTACCGTCCTGTCTGCTCCCCCACATACCTCATTCCTGATGTGTTACAATCACAAACAGGTATATGGCACTGTGGTCATAAACTAGCACTGTACACACCTGTGTCCTCAGAGAGGAGGTGTGTGACCTCCGGGGTCACAGCTGTGTCCTTCTTGCAATGAAGCATGCAGGGAATAATCCCGACTCTTAGGGCACTTGCAGGCCCTGCGCTTGAGCCTCTGACAAATAAGCGGCTTGGGAAAAGCCTCCTGACATGTTGATTTGTTAAGGGGTAATTTATTTTCAAAGCAAGTAAACAGCTTGTAAACTTGGGGGTTTACCACTTTAAGTGATTAAGAAGTAAGCAGCTATAAAACTTGTTCTGGAAGGCTGTGGCTGATTGTCCCCAAGGAATTTTCCTGAGCAGTGTTTGGATTTGCCAGATGCTTGCCACAGTTCCTCTGATGGGCTCTCTCTCCCACCACACAGTCTATCACATAATGCCTCTTCCTGAGGACCCCCAGGACAGTGACCTGGCCGCTCTCTGCGTAAGCAGATCTCTGTGGTAGACAAGGGTAGGAAGCATCTTCTACCACACAAGAGCCCAGACTTGAAATTGCATGCCAAGAGATGCAGGCCTCATCCATGTCAACACAGGCTGTGTGGACTCCGGAGCCTGGTTAGGGCTGTCAGTAGGGCCCCTGATGTTTAAGGAGCTGATGGGTAACAAAAACAGCTCCTCACAAACAGTACAAATAGCCCCTCCTTGATGGCCCACTGAGTCCTAAAGGGTAAAGTGGGAGGCAGTGAGTCCCATCTGATCAGAGAGATGCAAGGACTTGTCTGGGCCTCTTGGCTGGTAGGTAAACAGGTGAGGGTTAAAACCCTGGCCTCCCACTGGGCATGGTGCCACACGCCTGTGGTCGCAGCACTCTTGGAGGCTAAAGCAGAAGGATCACAAGTTTGAGCCCAACCTGGGCAACTTAGTGACTTAGAAAACCCTATCTGAAAATTTTAAAAAAGGCTAGGTATATAGCCCAGTGTGAAGGATCATTCCCAGTATGACGAGATAAAATATTTTAGGCTTTGCAGGCCATTTCGGGCAGAGAGGCCATGCAGTCCCTAGGGCAACTACTCATCTCTGTTCAGCATTCTTCCACCTTCCTGAGTTTTGAGAAACAGGAGCCTGGAACCTGAAGGACCTCCTGGGAGAGGTGTCAGCTGGAAGGTGGACTGCACAAGGTCCAGGCAGCACAGGGACACAGGGTGAGGTCTGGGGCTGGCTGTGGCTCAGGGAGTCACTCAGGGAGTAGCAAGACTTGACAGAATGCCAGGAGGTCAGGTTCCCCACTCTGTTATGAGGACAGTTTGCTCCCCATCCCTTACATTAGTGCAGCTTCTGAATTCTAGGTCAGAGGCAGTGGTCCACAGAACACCATCACCATGGGTTCTGCCCGGCTCCTGGGGCTGCAGCAGGAAGCCCACAGTTTGCATGGGCTCCTGAAGTTATTAATGAGGCGTTTGCTCTATGGAAGTCTTTATGGACTTAGTGAATAAAAGTGGAAGTCACGGCCCTTTGGAAAAGCGCAGTGTAGAGGTCTCGAATAGTCTGCGGGAAAGCATAGGTCCTGGAAAAAAGGCTGAGAGTCACTACAGAGAACAGATTTGCTGAGCACTAAGCACGTGCCCTGCCTATGCCCGGGATGCTGTGTACAGAGGGTCATCGTGAATGCGGGTGACAATGCCCTCAGCTCACAGCTGGGAAACAGACTGAGAAACACGGCAGAAATATCCACGTGCCTTGTGCTTCTGCCATCCATATCTGAGTGTCTCCAGCAACATGGAACTTGTCCCCTTACCATGTGGCCACAGACCACAGAGCCCCCAAGTTACAGAGTTGCTTTGAGGACCGTTCAGTGCTGTTGTGGGCAGCTGTTTTTTTGTCTTTTTTTTTTTTTTTTAAGGCAGAGTCTCACTACGCATTTCAGACTAGCCTTGAACTCACTATGTAGCTCAGATTGTCCTCAAACTCCTTGAACTTACAGCGATCCTCCTGCCTCAGCCTCCTGAGTGCTGGGATTTCAGGTGTGCGCCACCATGCCTGGCTTTGTCATGGGCAGCTCTTGTGCAGAGCTTTTGTTGCTCCTGAACCTAACCTCCCTCAAACCACGAGGGCAGAGCAGGTGTCTGGCAAGGAGAGTCCAGGGCTTTGGGCACATCATCAGAGACCCCAAGGTTCTGCCTTTAGGGTTCTCAGCCTCTGTGTGAATTGCCAGGAGCCCAGAAGTCCCAAGGCTGCGTGCCTGCTCCCAGAGCACAGTCAGCCCTGCTGAGGCAACACCGGACACTCAAGACTCACGGTCCACAGCTCTGCCCTCAGCATGCTGGTGGCCTCTTCCCTGACACGGCTCCACTTGTGTCCAGGTCAGTCCCCAGCCAGGTCAGCTCAGGGCGGGGAATAGGCCAAGACTCTTCAGAAGCTGGAGCAGGTTGCTGAGGGTCACCTTGACACTGAGATCCCCATCCAGCCTGAGAGTAGTGTATTGGCCAGCCAGTTCTCTTCGGTTTGATCACATCCTATTGTCTTACAGGCTTTGCCGTGGCCCAGTGTATAAACCAGCACAGCTCACCATCCCTGCCGTCACCATCACCACCTTCTGCCAGTGGGAGCCCCAGCGGCAGCGGGAACACCAGCCACTGTGACTCGGGGGGCTCGTCTTCCACACCCTCTGCAGCCCAGAGCCCAGCAGGTATTGGCCAAGTGACTGGGAGGCGGAGGGCTCCTGTCCCTCACCCTCTTGCCTCTGCTATGACCACTGACTCCCAGCTCCTCTTTGTCATGGGGTATAATGGATACTGCCACCCCATGGAGTGTTCTGCGTACCCTCCAAGAAGGTGTTGCCCACAGGCTGGTTTAGCTCCTTGCGCAGGCTGTTCCACTGTACGGCCTCCCCTGCCTGCAAAGATGAAGGGACGGGTGACAGGGGGTCTGGCCTAAGCCCACCTGTCATTACTGCCAGAGCCATAGGTGTCCCCAGGAGGGGTGTCCTAGAGGCAATTGCTTGACTCCTGGGAAAATATCAAGTCCCTTCTAATCCTCCCACCCCACATACTAGTCTCCTCCCCCAACCTTTGGTTTTTTGAGACAGGGTCTCCCTGTGTAATTCAGACTGATCTAAAACTCACTATGTAGCCCAGGCTGGCCTCAAACTCACAGTGATCCTCCTGCCTCAGCTTCCTGAGTGCTGGGATTTCAGGCAAGTGCCAGCACAGTCTCCTCTTTAAATGTTCAGTGTGATACAGTCGCCATACTCGGGCGCATCCTGCCACCTCTGTAATGAGCATGTGGGAGTTGTGTCTTGCTGTCCTTTACCTTAGAGCAGTTCAAACATGGCAGAGAGAATTCATGAGCCCCTGGAGTCAGCCTGGAACAGGAGATGCAAGCGACACCCCAGCCCTACCACCCCCACAGCCTCATCCTCAGCTGCCTTGAGCCATACAGCGTGAGTGCTGGCTGCACTACATGAGATCCCAGGAGTAGACACCAGGCTTGTTTGGTGGACAAGGCCCCAAAATGCAACCGGAGCTGCAGGGTTCAGGCAGGAGCAGGCTCGGTGGCTCGAGCCAGCTCTCTGTCCTCGTCCCAGCCCCAAACCCCACCCCAGGTCTGAGGGTCCTTGTCACTCCAGCTGGTACCCCCCACGGAGGACCTTTGGTGATCTTCACAGTCCCTGCAAGGTCCTATCCAGAGCCGTCACCCACTGTACTGCAAGAGCATCTGACCTGATGTCATTAGGTTATGGAGCGAGGAATGGTGACAAGAGACACAGCGGGTGATGGCATGGCGAACCGAGTCTCCCCGGGCGCCTGTGCTTTTCTCTCCAGTGTTTGCGGCTTTCGGTTCCCAGGAAAGAGTCAATCCAGCCTGGTGTCCACACTGAGGTTTGGGGCCCTCCTGTGCATCCCCAGGAGGTACACATGACCTCTGTCTCCTGTTGCCATCAGGAGGCCCAGGCAGGATGGGCACCTTCAGGCCCCTCACTGGGACCCTCTCTCTATGCAGGGTTGGGGTAGGTGACTGCACTCTCTGAGGGACTTCTGAACCCAGTGTAGGGCTGGCTGTACATCCACGCAGCTGCCAGCACTGTTCCCAGGCTTGTAACTGGGAAGTTGCTCCGGGCACAGCCCTCAGGGCCCCTCCGCCCCTCTCCCGCCTGCCGTCTGTGTCCATGTGCTGGGTGCACACACCTTCTTGCGTGTGTACATTTCTCTGCGTGTGCACCCAAACACAGTTACAAGTGCTCTGGGATGAAAGCTCCCATGGTTTTCTGGACACTTTCTTCCATTGTTGAGGAGGGACAGCCAACAGCTAAGTGAACAAATGAGCCATATACTTCTTTGCTGCACACACACTGGAACCAGTCAGGAGCCACATTACCAAAATCGGGCCTCTGAGTACCAAAACATGATAGCTGGGCTTCACAGCTACACCGCCTCCAGGGCCTCATGTCTATGGTGTGTGCTGAATTTCTTTTTTTTCTTGGCCTTCCTTAGCCCCTTCAGCCCTACCCCCACCATTCCTGCACTGTGCCAACACGTGCCTTGTCACCTCACAGATCCAGGGGCTGTCAGCCATGATGCCAGGTGACCAGGTAGTGCCAGTTGACAAGTAGAGTCAGGACCTCCAAGGTGTCTGCTCCCGTTCAGTGCAGTCCCAGCAGACAAGCATGGAGCACCTCATTTTTTATGCCACGAGACATAAAGAGCCTGTCCGACTCTGCAGACCCCAAGATAACTACTGTCCTCCGGATGAAGGGCAGCCTGGCAAGCAGCGCGCGCTTTACTTTCACATAGGGAAGTGGGTGCCCTTGGACACACTATTGATCCTGCAAGGAGAGAGCATTGGAGCCCAGGAGCTCCTTCAGGCTTGAGGCTAACCTTCCAAGCCAGCTGTCAGCCACCCAGTTCACCCGAACAAAGCCTTTATTCTGTTTCCATGTTCCCTATAGGAGTGGTTCTAGCCAGATGGTTCCAGCATCTGCTTGGTATCCTACCAGACTGTGCTTGAGGGAAGCCAAGAAAGGAAAAAAAGACAGGAGCCTTTGTTGAGATGGGCTGCCTTCTGCCAGTGCCTGGTTTGTCATTGGCTCTGAGTGGTGGCCTAGTGCTTAGCTGCCTATGCACACCCTGTTGGCAAGACTTCCCACCCATCAAGGACCTGCTACAACCTGGCAGAGGTGGCATTCTTGGAGGGGACAGGGAGGCGTCTCGTCATCCTGGTCCATCCACCCTAACTGCACTGCTTAATCTGGACACCTGCTGCCCCACCATGGGGACAGGTGTCCTCAGGGCAGTTTCTGAGGGTATAGCGCAAATCAGAAGTATCCACGACTGTGTGTTCACGGAGCCTCCAGAGTCCAGGATGCTCTCCCGCGTGGCAAGCAGCTGCCAGGAACTAACACACTCCAGGGGCCACTGTGCCACTGAGGCCTCACTTTGCATGGTCGGGTGTTAGGTTGGGAAAGGACCCAAGAGATGCCGTCTACCTGGTAATGAGACAGGCCCAGTGTTCCAGGGTCTGCACCATGGTTTTAGAAACATGAATTGTACAAGGATAGCTTGAAAAGTTAGAGATGTTGCAAAAGTATTGTAGACTGGAAGAGTAAAGTCTGTAGCACAGCATGGCACCTGTGGCACATTTCACAGTCACTCATAGTATATTTCAAAATGTTAGGAGAGCAGATGTTGAATATTCCTAACACAAAGAATGTTCAAGGGGCTAGAAATGTCCATTACCCTCATTTGACCATTGCGCAGCATGTATAATATATATCAGAATATCACACCATTCTTCTTAAACATGCACAATTATGTGTGTCAGTTTTAAAGTTTAAAAAATTTCAGAAGAGCCATGGGTGACCCTCAGCTGCAGCAGTTCACATCACGCAGGCACTCACCGGTCTGCACGGGCTCCTGCCACGGCCGCCGCACAGCCTTCCTAGTGTGTGCGTACTGCGCGGGTCCCCGGAGATGCACTCCCAAATCCAGGCCCTTCTAGTGCCTGGCACTGTGCCCACGAGCACCTTGCAGACTCTCTCAGTGGATTCTTCCATGCTTTACCTCCTTCTGTACAGCTGTAAACACAGGAACTCAGAAAGGTCATCCAACTTGTCCAAGACAATGCAGCTAGCAAGCACAAGAGTCTGAATTTAAACCTTATCATTGGCAGCTCCATAGCTCGCACTTCACCTTCTAAGCCAACCCAGCAGAATTTCTGACGCAGGTCCTGGGTCTTTCTCAGGCACCTCCCAGGGATGTCCCAAGAGACATGCCCGGGCCTTGGTTGGGATCCTGGTGGGAGGCAGCCCATGGAGCACAGCTCTGCTGGCAGGCACCATTGTCCGGAGGCCCAACTGAAAAGCCACATTCATAAAGGCCTGGGGGTCTGGCATGGCCCCAGACAGCAGATAACTGGATTGTGTGGGCCCATGAGGTGAAGGACTGATGGACCACCCCCCACCAATCAGCAGCAAAGTAGACCCCAAAAGGCCATGTCTCCTTTGCTGGCCTATATAGGTTCATCTCTACACCAGCAGGTAAAACTGACTGATGCTCAGGTGCGTTACCTGCCTACACTCTGCCCTGCTCAGGGACCTCACACTTCCTGCCTGAGTTTGACAGAGGTCTGTGTTTATCCCAAATACACATGTCTCATCTTCCTGTAGGGCGTTATCCTTGCCTTCCTGGACTTAGTGGCTCAGGCTGCTTCTCTTAATTTTATAGACTGGAGGCCTGATCCACAAGGTCCCTCCATCCACCCAGTCCTTGCTGGTCTGGTCCTTTTAGTGCCCGTCTCCCTGGATCTTCTCTACCTTGGCTTCAGGTGCCCTTCACTCATTCGTATTAAGTTATATTTTTCTAAGCAAACAGGCTTCCGTGGAGTCCCCGCTGCGCGGGCATTAGGGGAACCATCTGGCAAAGCCTGGATCTCACATTTGGTTGGGCCAGCCAGGGCCCGTTAGATGGCTACACAGATGTGTGTAGTTATAAACTATGAAGAAAGGACCATGCATGGGGCGTTAGCGGCCAGCCCAAAACACCAACTTGTCCAATCTCTGGAAAGCTTTAGTTCTCGCAGAGGAGGCCTCCCTGGAGATGAGAAGGTGAAGGCATGAGGGCTAAGTAGACCCGGGGTCCATGAGGAACGCAGCCTTGGGCCTGGCACATCCACCAGGCCCGAGACCTCTGTCTTGCTGGAGACAAGTGGAATCCTTTTCCCATCCTGTAGGGGCTCCCTTAAAACCGCACCCTTCTGAGTGAAGACTGGGGGCCAGTCTGTCTTTAAAGGTCCCCAGCCCATGGCAGCCGCCCAGAACAGGCCCAGGCCCCTCAGCCTGAAGGAAATGGGCCGCCCTACAGGGCCATCTTCTGCCAGCCTGTCTGTGTGGGCAGCACCTGCCTCGAGTACTCTCTGCAGACTGAGCTTCGGATGCTCCCACTGGTGGCTCTTGAGTAGGTGCTCAAGTTGGGAACCCAGATATACCCCAAACTGCAGAGAAGGCCCACGCTGAATTCCTTCAGAGCTCCAAGAACCAGTCCGAGATGGTTTTCATTGTCAGTTTTTTATCTATCACAGCTATTAGTTGGCTCCCCTACCTCCCGTGTGCATCTTTTTCCTTGTTTTTGAGGCATGGCCATGCCATGTAGCTCAAGCAGGCTTTGAACTCCTAGGTTCAAATGACCCTTGTGCTTCAGTCCCCACCGCCGCCACCACATCCCCAAGTTTTGGGACTGCAGGCATGTGCCGCCATGTCCAGCTCCACTGCCCTTTAAAGGAAGTACTTTGTGGTGCTCCATGCCTTGTGGGGAGAACTGGCTACCATTAAGTGTCTGCGAGCCAGGCATCTTGTCGCCCACACATCCAGCATAACTACCCTGGTGGCCTCAGCTTTATCCCTAGTGAGAAAATTGCAGGGTTGGAATCAGCATTTTCCCCTTTAACATTTTCTGGTTTTGAGAAGCTGAAATTGCAGAGGACATAAGGCCGGAAAGGGAAAGTAGGCCCAATTATCTTCTAGGCTGGCCTGTGCAGCCACAAAGTGCCACACTGCACATACTCAAGCATGTGTGCACGCACACACACACACACACACACACACACACTGTCTGTGTGGGAATCTGACAAGCATACTGTCCCCTCAGATAAGAGCTCTGTGACCTACCTTGAGTTCCTTAAGCAGCCACTTACATCTCAAATCTCTAGATTAGCTGGATTTCACATGTGTTCTGGGAGAGCCACTTTGAAGAGGACAGAAGTCATTTCTCAGAAAATGACATCATGTGGTGACACACGCTGTAATCCCAGCACTTGGGAGGCTGAGGCAGGAGGATCATTGCCAGTTCAAAACCAGCCTGGGCTACAAAGTGAGCTCAAGGCCAGCCTGAACTGCATAGCGAGACCCTGTCTCAAAAAGACAAAAAAGAAAATAACATCAGATTGAAGGTCAGCCTGCCCTTTTAAAGGTACATTTTACAGTGGCTCTGACCCTCCAAAGTCTTCCAGAAAGAAAGAAGGAGCTGATTCCCCCTGGTGCCCCCCACCCTCCCTCCTGTGCTCTTTGTCTGAATGGGTCACTTTCACCCACACCCCTCCACTGTGAGGGCCAGACAGCCTGAGAGTGGCCTCCATGTCACTGAACTCCGTCACCTCAGCCTTCTAGACTTTAAGGATGGAAACCCAGAGAAAGGGGTGTTTGTCTTTTCTCATTGTTCCACAGCGTTTCTTTCTTTATGGGGGTGGGGGTAATATAGATGTGGCAGGAAACTGCTGCTGTAGCGTTTCCGGCATGTGGTCCTAGGAAATTGGAGGACATTCCATTGCTGTTCTGGGGACGTTACCTAAGCTCTGTTCTTACCCTGAGTTCACCCCCGAGATTACAGCTGCTCCTCGCCGTGAGGTGCTACTAACACCTGGCCGGCACCCACCCTCAGCCACTTGGTCCCTGGCCACAGCCCTTCCTGCTATGGTTCCTTCTTGCAATTCCAAGGTGCAGATCACCAGGTCGCCCGAGGGGTCTGGGGCACCTCGAGCGTCCCATGCTTTCCCAGAAACCACCAAGCAAGGCAGTGCTAACTCCAAGAACCGTCGCCTCCTCAGCCAGGGTCAGAAATCTGCTGGGTTCACTTAGCTGGTTTGGCTCTGAGCCTCCAGTCACACACCCGTCCCTTCTCACAGTCTTGGGGAGGCAGGGGTTTTATTTCTTAACTGTGGGTCCTGGCCCGATGCTGATAGGCAAGTCTGCTCTTCTGTCCAGTAAGGTCTGTGACCAAGGCCGTGTGCTGCTATTGACTCCAAACCTTTCCTTCCCAACAGGACTACGCTTTCCCCGTCTTTAACCCAGTTAAATCGTATGAGTGACTGATGTGGTTCTCAGGTCCTCGGACCCTGCCTCCTCTTGGGGGGTGGCATGGGAGAGTCCCGTCTGCATGGGGGTGGGGGGCGCTCGCTGCACCGCTGCCAAGAGCCCACACTGGGGCCCAGTCCTGCCCCTCGCTCTCGTCGATGCTTAGCGTCCGTCTCTGCTGTGTCCCTGTCTCTACATCACCTTTGCTGTTCCATTGTTAAAGGCTTTCTATGATCTGTCGTTGTGTTTTCCCTCTAGTCAGGAGTGGCAGGAAAGGACGCCGGCGAGTGTTCAGCCTGTCGGAGGCCGACAGTCATGGTGGCCACTGGGTTTAGTGCTTCGAACGGCAGCTGCCACAGCAACTCACGTACAATCAATTCAGGCAGGTCTCCTCACGGAGCCCCATGGGCCCCGCACACTCCTGGCACCTCAGCAGGGTCTGCAGGAGCATGGGGGGCAGGCTGGGCCTGTGAGGACTCCAGGCTGTGGGAGAGGGAAGCCCTGAAGTTGGCGACTTCCTCTGCTTTCCCCACAGCCGGCCCTTCCCGCTTCCTTTCCCCTGTCCACCTGCAGCCTGAACCCCCCAGGCCTGCACCCTCACATAGCCTCCCTGTGCAGCTCAGCCTCCCCATAGCCAGCCCTGAGCTGGAGATCCCAGTGTGTCCCCATCGGTCCCTGTGGTTCAGGCCGTAGAGCTGGGCAGCAGTTGGCCGGAGAATTGAGAATTGATAAAACACAGCCAAAAAGTTACTCCTTTCTTTAGCCCCTGGCTTCACCCAAAGCTAAGTGGCAGATTGATTCACATCCCAGCCGGAGGCCAAAGTTGTCCTCCCACCACGCAGCGAAGGACCCCGCCGCTCCCTTTTATGTTCAGCGCTCCCGCTGCGTGTCACTGGTGAGGCTGCCAGTGGCCTGGCTCCTCTGTCAGGGCCTACCGCTGCCACCTTCTCCTGTGACGTTTCTTCTGTGGTGTCTGCTGTGTCGCCTCTGTTGGCAGTCGCGCTTGTCAGTAGGGAGCCTCTCTCCTGCTTTTTTGTTGCCCCGTGTCCTCTGAGCTTCCCCCACAGCTTGGTGTGCGTGGCTGTCCTTTCCCTCGCATCTCCCACCCTGCCTCTCCCAGGCCAAGCACAGCACATCCGGGCTGCCTCTGGAACTTGACGCAGACCAGTTGAGGCCCTGCCCCAAAGCTGCAGGCCAGTTTCTGAGGGTGCCAGCCGGGGAAGAGGGGCCCCTGCCTCGGAGCTTCATAGGCTGGAGTCCCGGGAGGCAAGACCACCCTTCGTGGGCATACAGACCTGCCAGATTCCCCACTGTGGGTTCTTTTCCTAGGGAAGAAACCAGTTTTGTGCACATGGTAGTATTTATTAGTGGGCTTGTTTTTTAAAACAGATTTGACTGTAGCTTTCCCATATCCTCAGTGACTCTCTTCCTCAGAAACCCCAGTAGGGATCAAGGGCAGGTTTGCCGGCTCCCTGAATGTCTGTCTGCAGGCACAGGCTTGAGCGAAGGGAGAAGCCTCCCGTGGAAGCTTTGGAAACCATGAAGGAAATGGTTTCGCCCCTCCATCTCCAGATGGCAGGACGGCACCACGTGGAGAATTCGTCATTTCCGAGCCGCCTCGGTAGTGCTGCTCGCTGTAGGTCCCCACGTGCACTTGCAGTGAGTATGAGGAGGCCCGAGCCCATCGTAGCAAGCGTGAAGGCGGCGGGAGCAGGCAAGCCCTGCTGCGGGTCCAACAGGAGCCAGAGCTGAAGCAGCCCTGCGCCACAGACGTCCCTACACAGGGAGCAAATTAATTGAAATTCAGAGGAACCAGAAGTCTCAAGGAGCATGAACTCCCCTTCTGTGGGCTCCAATCGCACCTCAGTCACTTTTTCCGTCAGTGCTCACGAGTGCCTGTGGCCACCTCCAAGCGAGGGCGGACCCAAAGCTCAAGCGGTGGTTTGCTCTCACTCACTCCTCCCTGCTTTTCAAGAGAGGCCCGGCTGGAGCTGGCGGTCAGTAGTGGAGCCCTTGCCTGGCATGCGCAAGGCCCCAGGTTTAATCCCCAGCACTGCAGCGGGGATACGAAGGGAGGGAGGGAGGAAGTTGAGGAGGAGGAGACAGACAGACAAAGACTCAAACAGATAGACAGACAGACAGGCAGGAAAGCCTTAGAAAGAAATTAGTGGGACCTTCCAGACCTCATCTGGCCCTGAGTCTTGTGGGAAGAAATGTCACGTGTGTGTTGGGAGACTGGGTCTGTGCTTACGCTTTCTCTTGGGGATTCTCTTCCTCTCACTCGTCTTCTCTTTATGCTGCATGGTTTTATTTTCGCTCTTTGCTTTTTCCATTTTTCTGCTGTGTATTCAGTTTGCCTTTATGTTTTATTTTGGCTTAAAAGAGAAGAAAAACTAACACAGCTGGAATCGCATTCAACAAAAAAACATCCCTTAAGAGGGCTCAGGACCTCCTGATCCCAAGATCCACACAAATAAGAATTTGCCTCCTAAGTGAGATGCCCATGCCTTGCTCTCAGAGGCCTCTGCAGGCCCGCAGTATGGTCTCCAGCACGACCTCCCTTTGCTCTGGTGTCTGGCTGGGCAACTCATCATCTGTCTGCAATCATGGATTTTGAAAAGCACCCCCCAGAAAAGAAACTGCCACTCTGACAACACCTACCTCAGGCGGAGCCTGGTGGTTTCCATGGCCCCCGTGGGGAAGCTCAGGAAGGTAGTGGCCTGGGCAGCCCCGGGCCCTTGATGGCTGTTGACTTAGCACTTGGACACAGAGAACACAAACCACAGTCCAAGATTTTTTAAGCTGAAAAGTTCTATAGAAATTCTTTTTGAGAGTATGGTTATTATTGCGGTGAACTCCCTCTTGGGTGAAAGTCACCACTGTGGACTCTGGACCTGGCCTGATGCTGTAGGCACACCTGAGCCCATTTACTCCCTAACGATGTCTCTGTCATAAGGCAGATGGTGCCAGACTCACCTGTGTACACAGCCTGCCTGGGCCAGTGTCTGCTTCCAGGAACTATGCTTTCTTAATGCACGTGGTGATTTGGCCTGAGCCCCCGGCTTTTCCCTGGTACCACAAGTCAGGGAGTCCTGGGCCCTGACACACCTTCCCCAGACCAGTAAGACTGGATGTGGTGCTTCTGTGTCCCCAGGAGTGAGTGGAGCCAGGCTGTGCCCCCACACCAGCCATTCCCCCACCCAGATTTCCCCGGCCCCAGTTCAGGACAGGAGCAGAGTTTGGCAGCCGGAGCACAGGATTGCAAGGCCTGAGTCTGTCCCTGCTTTTTCTCTACCATCTAGATGCCCCCACAACTCCGGAACCGCCTCAGCCTCACCTTCCCGACCAGTTGGAGATCGTCAATGAAACGGAAGCGGAAGCCAAGCCCAGCAAGAACTCAGCCAGGGGCGCGGAGGTGGAGACGGCGCACTTGTCTCCCAGCCTCCTCCCCGCTCAGCAGCCCACCATCTCCTTGCTCTATGAGGACACTGCAGACACACTGAGCGTCGAGTCACTGACCCTGGTCCCTCCAGTTGATCCCCACAGCCTCCGCACCCTCACCGGCCTCCCCCCGCCTCCCATGCCAGCCACAGCATGCCCAGAGACCTCGGACGAGGAGGCTGCATGTGCGGAGCCTGCAGGCCCTGCCGAGCACTGAGTGGGCGCCAGTCCTCCCCCTGTGCATGCGGCCCGCTGGTAGGGACCCCAGTGCAGTTGATGGCAAGACAAGCTGGAAGCACCTACACTTCTCCATGACCCCAGCAACTATCTCGGATACCCGTCCCCATACTCCTGAGCATCAGAAAGACAACCATGTTCCATTTGAACCCCTCTTTCACTTTTACCTCTTTAAGAACAGTCTGGGGCCGTAGGAACAGCCCGATGCATGCGGACGACAGCCATGGCTGCCTCGGAGGAGCTCGAGGAGCCCAACAGCCCAGGGGGCAGGACCCGCCAGCGCCCCTCCGTTCCCTCAGGCAGTTCCGGCCGCTGCGTGCACGGACAAGGTCACTCTGGGCAGCAGGTTGTAGAAAAGCAACCTTAGATGAGCATCTCTTTTGGCTATTTATTTCTGGTTTGAGCAGTAGTAAAAAGCGTTTATTTAAAAAGCATCTATCTGGGGAAGAAAAAATCCTCAATCCCAAGGTTTGAGGTCATGTTGAAAGTGTGATGATACTGTTAGTTTCATTTTCATTTTCCCTTGAATTTGTCAGTGTTTTGTCTTAGAGTGCTGGGTGTCACTTTCTCCATTTTCTTAAATGATTCTTTCTGTGTTACTATCGCTACAGACCTGTGGAATGATAACGTACCTTCCTGACAAATTTAGATTCTTTTTAAACACAGTGAAGGACACACACATACTCTCAGGGCCACATGGAGTGCAAGGGCCGGGGCTGCGCCGCCATCACTTTCCTGAGCGAGGTCTTAGTGTCACAGGTGGCCGCACCCCACTCAGCGCTAACACCACACGGACACTGGCACCCAGCCTCACCTGCAGCTGATGCCATCTGTGTTTATCTGAGGAGCCACTGGGGGCCATGTGGACTCCAGACCCAGAGACAGGAAGAGAAGGTGCCAGAGGGCATCCGTGGCATCTCCCCTGCAGGCATGCACATCCCAAGAGGGTACCGGCTTCGAGGGCAGCGGGCACCCGAGCACGGAGCATGTCCCTCTTTCCTCCCCTCCCCTGCACCCTGCAGACTCAGACAGGTCCTACCCAGCTCCAAGATGTTCCTTTTACTCTTGGTCAAACACAGTGAGCGACCTGTCACCTCTGAGATACAGGGAGACCCTCTACAGCTTCCCTGCAGATGTGCCCACCAAGAGTCCCCACACAGCGCCCGTGACCAGCAAACCTGGCCTCGGGAGACATGCTATGATCGGGCCCTCCACTCGCTACAGGAACTTGGTCCTCACCACCTCGGCTTCCCACCAGGAGCTGAGTGGTACGATGGGAACAGGTCTGTCCAGTTAGGTGGGAGGAAAGATGTGCTCACTGGGAGAGGCCTGTGTCATCCAGGCGGGGACCATGTGTTCCGATTGATCTCTTAGAGGGAGGCAGGTGCACATGGAGCAGAAGCCCAAGAGCCGTGACCTCCTGGTTTTGGAATGACCTCTTTGGCACAGCACAGTCGAGAAAAGGAAGTGACTTCCTTGCCCAGCAGCATGACTGTAAGAACCAAAACCATGCAGGTGGGCCCTGCCTTCTTGGGACCACCAACTGCTGCCTGAAATCAGTGGCTCCCACTGGCCTCATAATAGAGGTGGCAGCTGGCCCCTTGGGCTCTGATGAAGGACCCTCCCCCCGCGCTTACCCAGGCCTTGACTATACCCTACTTGGTTATAGTACACACAGGTGTATGTTCAGGAGTACCCCACAACCTAATAACTGGGGCTCTCCCACACCTGCCTGCCCAGACAGAATAGACAGGTCTCTCAATAGGACCAGGGGTCTGGGCAAACCCATTGCTAGAGCCACAGCTCCTACCTACAGGTCCTGAACAGGCATCTGGGATCAGCCCTCAAATACCCACCCATCCACCACCTCCAAGTCCTGCAGAGAGCACCACGGCCTGCCTGGTCACCTTCTCCAAGTCCCGTGTCGTCCCGTGTCAGGCACGTTGGGCTTGCTTAGCAGCATTGGCCACTGAGTCCTCAAAACCCTCTGCTTTGAAAGTTGCACCTCCCTTTCTGGTTTGGAGGCTTGGGCATCCAGGGCCCCCCCAGTAGGGTAAATGGAAAGGTGAACTCCCTCAGATGAATGAGGACAGCCAAGGTGCCAGCGAGGGACTAGGAGCAGGCCCTTCTGCCATGCTGCCCTGCCTGGCTGCTGCCTCCACAGAAGGCAGCTCCCTCTCACCACCATCCTCCAAATGCCTGCACTACCAATTGTTCCAGGCACGAGTGACAAAAACACCTAAAGACAGGCATTAAGTTTCTGTGTGGCCTCAGAGATGCACTGTTCTTAAAAAGGCACTGGTGAACCAATTCTGATCTTTTCTAGATGCAATAAACATGAAATATGTAATGCAGTGATGTTACTGTCAGGCATAACCTGTAAGGTTGTCTTCTGTTCCTGTGAGCTGAAACATGTAAATAGCTCTTGTCCCAGCGAGGAGCAGGGGTTGGGAAATCTCAGCGCTTCTGGCCATTCTAGGGAAGCAGCCACTTTTGCCCGCGTGACTCATGCTTTGTGGGTGCTGAGCACAAGGGTGGAAATGGAAACTGGAAACTTCCTTATAAATTTGAATTTGGCAATAAAAGAGGAAAAACCTAACCAAGAATGTGACACACTGCTCCTCAGCGCTATGGCACGAGACCGTGACTTGGCAAAGTGAAGCTCCTCAGCCACCAACCCCTGTCCTTGTGCGGTTGCTTGGGTGGGGGTGTGGGAGCTGGAGCCCCTCCCCAGCCCTACCCAGGTTTGCAGGAGATTGGTGGGACAGGTCAGGTGCAGCCTAGTCATTCAGGAAGGACGCCACCCTGCCAGGTGTAGAGAGCAGCATGGTCCTGTGCTCCTGTTCTGCATCTCTCACCTCCTGAGCAGGGAGCACCCACTCCGAGCTTCTAGATCTGCATCTGTGGAGTGGGACTTCACAGCCTTGCCTCAGAAAAGAGGCATAGCGAGTGGCTGTGGTGTGGGTGCAGCCTGCTGCTGAGATGAGAGAGTGGGGATGACTACTCTGTCATCGCGTCAGGTGATGTGTTGGGGTGGGCACAATTCTAGGAAATGCCAACACGTACCAGCATGAGCCCTGGCAACCCCTAGAAAGAGGGTTATAGATTCTCTAAAACTTCTGATGCTGTAGCTTAAACCTTCCCAGAAACAGCTGGAGACTTCTAGGTCTTGCAAGCAAATTTAAAAGAACACACAGGGTACCCTCCTCATGCCGACGGTAGAGGTGATGACCAGCTTCCCAACTTCACGCTGACAGCTGTCTTCGGGAACCGGGGATGGCTGGTCTGAACTCCTGCAGGGCTCCTTGCCATTACACGTCCTGGGCCAGCCTGCCCAGTGTACTTGGGTTCGCTTCCCTGTGAAGAGAGGAGAGGAGCAGCCAGTGCCAGCCTTGGAGGTTGTTGGAATCCAGGATGTGCACGGGCAGAATCCTCAACTCAGAGCAGGTGGCCTGGGGTTCTTGGCATGAGACCTTCTCAGGGACAGCTTCCCGCAGCCACCATGGTTTGGGCCTGAATGTTCCCAAAGGATTATGTATCCAAGGCTGATTCGTCAGCTTGGGGCTGTTGGGAGGTGGTGGAACCTTAGGAGGCTGGGCCAAGCGGGAGGTTTTAGGTCGCTAGTGCTGTGCCTTCAAAGGGGACAGTACAACCCACCCTCTTCCTCTTTCTCTCTCTCCTGTTCTTGGCCAGGAAGTGAGTGGCTTTGCTCCACCACATCCTGCCATGATGTGTCACCACAGGCCCAAAGCAATGAAGCCAACGGGCCATGGACTGGAACTTCCAAGACTGTGAGCCAAAAGAAACCTTTTTTCTTTATAATTTGATTCTCTCAGGTGTTTGTTCCAGTAACAGAAAGCTGATGAACACACTGACCCAGGCTCAAACCCAGAACTTGCCCGTGGAGTGTTTGGTGGCTGAAGGTCACTTTACCTAAGTGTCTGATTCTTGCAGAGCATGTTCTGTGTCCCACTCCACCTGCACCAGAGGTGACCCGCTGGGTCAGTGGGTAGTGCTGTTTCCCAGGGGCTGGCAGGATCCCAGCCAGGACCCAGGAGGCAAGCTCTGCTCTGCTGCATCCTGACAGCACCAAGTATGAGGGGCAGGTGAGGGCAGGTGGTGGCATCCCAAGTGCCAGCGACCTGAGTTCCACACAAGAAGGGAAGACTGATTCCCCGCCAGCAACTGCTGGAAACCCCCTTCCCCTCCTGTGCTGCTTCTTACTGGCACTTCAGGGTGGTGGGGAAAAACCCTCATGGTCTAAAGTACTTTTCTCCAAAGGCAGATGGTTCTGAATCCCTGGACACATGTGGGGCTTCCCAAGAATCACTTGCGGATGTTCCTCTGCTCTGTGCCAGCTCCAGCTGGGCCAATGGGGTGCTGCTCCTTAGCCCCACCCCCCCATGCCACCTGTCACCAGCTCAGCCTGATTTCCTTTGCAAGAGCACCTGTGCTCACTCAGATGCACATCTGCCCAACACCTTTTTTTGGTTTGCTATTTTTGTTTTGACACAGGGTCTTGACATGTAGTTCAGGCTGGCCTTGAACTTACTTTGTAGCCCAGGCTGGCCTCAAACTCAAGGTGATCCTCCTGCCTCAGTCTCCTGGGCGCTGGGATTACAGGCGTGTGCCACCACACCCCACTGTCAGTCACTTTCGACTCATCTTTCCCATTTAACTTAAAGAGAGAGGCTTTGCCTCTGGAAACAAAAGCCAGCAGCACTTACTGCGTTCCTTTCCTAGGGCTGCCCAGCAATAATCACGAACAGGGGCTTCCGAAGCCGGGAACTTGTGGCACTGCTGCAGAGGCCACCAGTGCGGATCAGAGGCACAGACTTGTAGAGGCCAGAGGAGAATACATCCGTGCCTCTCTCCAGCTTCGGTGGAGTACAGTGACCCCTGGCATTCCAGAGGGTGCTCTGAAGTAGGGCTCCCTGCCTTGCTGTGTCACGGCAGTCACCCGTTTCCTTCCTCGTGTCCCTGAGGTGAGTCACATCTCTGTCTGCATCTCGCATGGCGTCTTCCCTGTGTCTCTTACGTCCAGTCCACTCTACTTCTCCCCTCCTCTCCTAGGACACCAGTTTTGGGCTCAGGGCCTGGTGTGATCCTGGATGATCTCACCTCAAGATCCTTAACGATAACCACCAGACTCTATTTCCAAATAAAGTCACATTCACAGGTGTCTGAGGCCAGGATGTGGGTATGTCTTTTCAGGAGGGTCACCATTCAACTCCTGACACTTGCCAGAAATCAAAGGCACCATCAAAACACACAAGTAGAGGCAAACCCATATAATTAAGTTGCACCAGGTTCCACTCCTTCCTTGCTGCAGGCTGGCCCGGGCTTGCCTTCCCTGTTGAAAGGGGAGACTAGCCGTTCAGAGGCCTGCTAGCACCTCATCCAGACTTTCTCTTTGATGGCGTCGGAAGGGCTGATAGGAAACAATCCACTGTTGGAACTAGACTGTCTGTGCTCTTATGTCCCTAAAAGTCACCTTGGGGCCCTAAGGTGGGCGGTATTGCAATGGCAAAAATAGATTACAGATCGTGGTGTATTGGGAACCAGCCCATTTGAGGGGGGTGGTTGTTTTGTGTTGAGCCTCCTTCCCAGCAGTTTCCCCCAGGCAGCAACTCTTACATTATTTGACTGGATCTCCTGGTAGCCAGCCATAGGGTCTGACTACGTCTACCATCCCTCCTGGCCTCGTGGCTCTCTGTAAATGTGAGTTGGGTGAATGGAGCCAAGTTCCCAAAGCCTGAATTCCACCCATGCCTCCTCCCATGGCCCTGGCCTTTGGCCTGCCCGTCTCTGCTCCTGCTGGTATCTTCCAGGCCTTTCCACGGCCAGCCACCAACCTCTGGAAGAGCAGGCCAGGGCCTGGTTGATAAGGGCAGAAGGGTTGGAGGGTTTTCCTTCGCCACCATCAAAACTTCTGTGTCCCCAGCAGTCCACAGATGCCTTGGCTGACATAGGCACCGCTGGTACCTGAAATATATGGCACCCGTGTGGGGCGGGGGCTGGAATTTTGGAAGGTCCCCAGCTTATTCCATGGGGAAGCAGCAGTGGTTCATTCTCGGTGTCATCTCAGCAGGGCTAGGGATGCCCAGAGAGCTGGTAAATACTATGCCTGGTGCGCTTGTGAGGGCGACCCTGGAAGAGATGAGCAGCCGCAGACGGAGTAAATGCAGTGGCACCATCCAGTTCATTGAGGCTGGCAGAGCAAAACAAGGCAGAGCAGGGGGAGATTTGTTCTCCATTTGACAGGGCGCTTCTGGTTCTCAGACCTCTGAACTTGCACTAGAATAACACCACCCTCTCTCCTGGCCTCAGGCTTGCAGATAGCGAATCATGGGACTTCTTGGCCTCCATAATCCTATGAACCAGTTCCTGTCATAGCTGTCTGGTTGTGCAGCTATTGGTGGTTTCTTGGGAGAACGCTCACTGACACAACAGCCCAGAGAGGCTCACCTCTGCGGCCCATGCCCGCAGGGCTCTTGGCCCTGTCCTGGAAGACCCCTGGCGGGTTCCTACACAGTGCCTCGGCACCTGCCTGTCTTCCCTCCGAGCCCCCTCCCACCGCCTCCTCTGGCCACAGCATCGGTGCCGCATTCCAGGGGGTGCTCTGAAGTAGGACTCCCTGCTTTGCTGTGTCACAGCAGTCACCCGTTTCCTTCCTGGCATTTGTCATACCTCAAAGGGCTTTTGTTCCTTTGTTTGCCACATTCAAAGTCCCCCTGTTTTATCTGGAGGAACCTTGACATCAGGGCAGGAGACAGCTCAGGCTGTGTCACTGCCAGGCACTGCTGTGGGCACCTGCGGCTTAGCCCGCTAGGAACCCTCCTTGGAATCACTGGGGTCGAGCTCAGGACTGGCCCCTAGAAAGCCTGCTCAAGCGTCAGCACCCTGCTGCTGAGGGTTGTCCAGGGGTTGGGTGTCCTGGTTCCAGCTGCACTGCCTGGGGCCGAGATGGCACCAGCAGACAGAAGTCTGGAGTCTCAGCGGGTAGGGGCTGCAGGCCCTGGAACCAGAATGGGTGCAGAGAGAGGTGCTCCGGGCTCCAAACATGTCAGCCACAGCTGCCAAACTTACGGCTTATAAACTGGTACCCCTTGAGCCCAACACAGTCCATCTGCATATTCTGTTGGGCCTGCGCAGGTGTTTAAAAAAAAATTAAGCCAAGATTTAAAAAGTGGGGGATCCCATGCAAATGTCTAGATTTCTGGCGGCTTTTTAAAAATCAGACTGAGAGCCTGATACAAGGGAGCTAGTACTGATCAGCTACTGGGGAGGCTGAGGCAGGAAGATCACCAGTTAAGACCAACCTGAGCAACTTAGAACCTGCTCAAAATAAAAACTACCTGGACTGCCTGGCCAATGTGGACACCAAACCTGAGGCAGAAAGTAGTTCATCCTGTGTCGACACATCAGGAGAAGCAGGAATAGAACCCTACAGTGAACAAGAACCAAATGTGAAATGGCCTGAGACAGACTGTGGTTCAGTCAGGGATGCTGGAAGGGGGAGTGGACAGGATTATATCTCAGGTGGTGAATCCCAAACTAAAGCATGTCTTCAGGCCACAGACAACGAGCTATGCATGG